GAAATTTGCTGCAAAGCTCAGCAGGAACAGCGATCTGCCGTAAACCATCAACCAATGTAGCTGAAACACAAAGAACAACTCTGTGACAACCTCATAACACGGAACTAGAGGCTGCTCTACGTCTAGTGTGGTTTGAGATCTAGCCGTACTGGTGTTGCTGAGGTGACCCGGTTTAAGTGAGCGGTCCACGGTCGGGGGTGCAGCCGAGCTGGGAGCTGACGGAGTGCTGTGATTGGCTGAGTGGTACTGCGGACTCTGAGGGGGAGTGGGGGACTCTAGGTAGGGCAGAGGGGGACCCTGGATCCCAGGGATGAGCAGTGCGTCGTCTTGGTGAGGCGCTGGTCTGTTGAACTCGTGCTCACGCTGACGGTCCTGCTGCCGGATCATCTCCTCAAACCTGCTGAACTGCTCCTGCTCCAGTTGCCTCCTCTGCATGTTCGCCACACGGTGTCTCTCCGCCTCTAGCTCACGCTGCCGAGACAACTCCCGCTCCAGTGCTTGAGCTTCTGCACGCTGGCAGACGACAGAACCACACTCATAAGACTGACCAAGGTGAAAAAACCATATGCATCTTTAACTTTGAAATGAATTACACCAAACACGTCAGTAATGCATATAGAAAATTACTATTAGACAAATACTATTTTGTAAAAAAAAAAAGGTTAAAAAAAAAAAAAAATTAATAAAAAAATGTTTGTATTGTGACTCTCAATAGTCTCATTGGATATTCATTAAAGTAATACAGTATGTTTTGTTTTTAAAAAGTCATAAATATGTTTTATTATTTCCTAAGGCAGAGCAACAAATACTAATTATATATATATATATATATGTGTGTATGTTCATCATGGTAACTGGGGATTGGGAGGTACTGGTGATTTTCGTGGTAATAAAAATAGATTGTATATCTAGCATTATGGAATTACAATAACATTACTAGAATTTAGGAAAAAACTAATGTCTGAATGTATTACCATTAAAAGAATATGGGAAATGTGTTAAATGGTCATGGAAAAAATGTGAGAATCAAAAAAAAACATGTTCTTGACAGGTTTCATCGGTTTCGCTTTTATTCCATAAGTTTTGGAAAAAAATGCCTCACCTTTTTGCTGATAAACTCAGCATATTCTTTCTCATATCTCCTCAGTAAATGTTTCTTCAGCTGCTCTGCTTGAGGAAAAGCGGTCTCCTTTAGCTTCTGTGTGAGGAACAACATCAAAACTGAGGCAACTAACATGGTATAATGATCATTTGAGATTATCGATCTAGAGTTCACTAGACTACGTTACCCTTAAAGTCTCCTTCTTCTCAGGAATACTACACAGCTTATATTCTGGATGCTTGGGGAGCTTTTCAATGAAAAGCCTGGTGGGTTAAAAAGAACCAGAGTTAAACCTGTTGTAAGTAATCTGGACATTACCAATATTACTGGTAATTACTCATATTACACATAACAGATGACTCCCATTTAAGTTAATGAGATACTCCACCCAAAAATGAACATTCTGTCATTACTTACTCACTCCCATGTTGTTCCCAACCCATTTGACTTTCTTTCTTTTGCAGAAAACACAAAGGAATGTATTCTGAGGAACATTGGGAACCAAACAACATTAGAGCCAAATCATCTTTTGTGTTCCACAGATGTAAGCAAGAAAGTCACACAGGTTTGAAACAACATGAAGTTCAGTAAATGATAAAAAAAAGAACCTTCATTTTTTCAGTTGAAGTGTCCCTTTAAAATGCAACAGAATGAGCTAGAGCTGTGTTCAGGTCTTCTTACGTGATGTATTTGTTGTAGAGGACAAAGGCGTGCTCTGTGTTGCCCTCCTCGGCGTACACATGGGCCATGCGGATCACCTCCATGCCCGAGCGGAAGTATCGGCGGAGGGGCACTGCCTCATTCATGTCCACAGCCATGCCCTTCTTGGTCAAGGCTCGCACCCGTTCATCCGGGGTCAAACTCACATCGGCGTGGTCCAACATCATGCGGCCAGCGTCCTCAATCTACGCCTTCAACCCTGTGACACAAACGAGAACACGTTACAGACAAAACTGGATTTCTCTTGCACTTTTGAATGAAAGAATGTAGTAGATTTACTATGCAACTACATCAACTTAATGAATGCCACATTCGTTTACATATAAAAGTCTTAAAGGTACAGTAGCAAACTTCATACATTCTTACACTATTGAGTATAATATTAACCACTAAGTAGTGAACAAGTAATACTATTTACTGTGCTGGACCGAAGATTAAATAAAGTGTTACAGCTTCAAACACTTTTAAAAACTCACTTTACAATATTTTGCATCATATCGCAAAATAACCAACAGCTGGGGCCGCCTTTATTGATTTCTTTTTAAAAATATGTGAATTGTTATGGTATGCATGATGATTATTCATGAATATGTGCAGCTAGCTGGCTAATGTTAGATAATAAAGTCTTACCGTGGTAATAATGACAGTCTCTGTCTTTCAGATCACAATCACATGAGCTGGGGAAACTCGTCCATCGCCTTTAACTGTATTTCATGGGAATAAAGGCGAGTTAAACGGCGTTATATGGCTCTGCCTCCATCCTTCTCGCTGCAATCTCCTCCAGCACGCACTGCCACTCACTCACTCACTTCCTCTTTCAGTGTGACGCAAACTAACAGCCGCTCTCAGATCAGTCTGCTCTCCCTCTGTTGCAGGGTTGCCAGGTTTTCATAACAAAATCCGCCCAGTGGGGTCCTCCGGTAAAAATCCCATTCCGGGGGTAAAATACACGTTTTTTGGCGTTGTTCCCTTGGTACAATTCGCATTCCAGGGGCTAAATATCACGTTATTGGGGTCGCTTCAACCCGCGGCAACAGTTAAAGTAGCCAGTTCCGCGGGAAAACCACGGACCTGGCAACACTGCGGTGTTAATACAGACGCTGCTGTTTTCACGCTCACAGTCCGATCGATCAGATTCAAGGTGTGTCAGTTAATATGTGACTGATGAACTTTTTACTGTTTACTTAGTGTCATTAACCCAGGAAGCATTCTGAAATAAATAATTTCTGTTGTTGTTGTTATTATTAGTCGTATAATTAATCGACTTGTTGCTGTCGTTAAACAACAACAACATATTATGTTACAATGAATGTTGTATTAAATGAGAAAATAATGCAAAATATAGGATTTTTTGATGGCGATCTCAGACTTGTAAGCCCCACTGTAGTAAAAGTTACTATTTTATGACAGTAAGTATGGTATGTATTGCTGCACTGGATTCAGTTCAGATGTTTTTAATGATCAGATCCGTTTTTTTATCAAATGACAGAATGCGAGACCAGTCAGAGGAAAAATCAAACCTTTATTCCATTTCTTTTCAGAGTAGAAAGAATATCACTTGTGAAAAAGTTGCAATAGTGGTAAAGATTGACCACAGTAAATAGGTAAGTTAAACAACCTTAATATATTTTTTTCCCCAAGTAATAATTCAAAATAGGTCCTGAATTTCAAGAAAAATGGTTGTGCAAAGCCACTGGTTAAATGTAAAGAATACAGCGGGAACCACAGTATAGGCACACATCAGGAGTGTGATAGTTGTTGTACATCGCACCAGAAAGATATTTCCCACAATATTTCCAATTTTTTGGATTAAGGGGAGTAGGAGTATATATCCATTTGTTTCTCATTTCTGGGCATTATCTAGAATTGGCACAGGAATTTTCATAAATCAAGTGTGGGTAATTATAATACTACTGTACACCAAAAACAATAGTGTTTAAATGCATCATTGACTGCTGCAAACAACAATAGTGTTTTCTTCATCAGCTAAAAAGTGGATTGACTCCAGAACTGGATGGCTTCATTCAACATTAAAGTCACTTGAGTCAAAGCTTTTAGAAGAATGAAAAGTGCAACTTGTCAGAATCAGGGCTGTAGGTTTTTTTTTTTTTGTCAAAGTGTCCAGGTGCAGTCCATTTAGAAAACCACAACTGCACCACTGACTGACAAATTCAAATACAAGTAATTTCAACAGACTCAAAACACCTCACACGTCATAGATGGAAAGCATACTGTATGCAATTTAAAAAAAAAATCTATCAATGATCAGAAACAAAACACAGCAGGGCTGACTGATAAAGATCGTTTTTGGGCCATGGTGTTACCTTAAATAATTTCAATCTTTTATTGCTTTAAATCCAAATAAATTATAGTCATTTTTGGTGAAGAAAAATTACATTTAACAAAAACTATAAATACATTTCTTTCTGACACATTATTTTTGTTGTTGGAGCAATGAAAAGGGCAAGTATGAATCTGAACTACTGGTCTGACTGGGCCAGCAGATAAAATCCTTTTTGTTGAGCCCTTCAAAGCTGATTTAGCAGATAAGATGCATTCATAGTGTTTAGAACATCTTTAACGTAGGAACAAAAGCTTGCTGCTTCTTTTCTAGTCCACACCTGTAGAAATAACTTCATGTCCCATAAATGTGTGCAATCCGCTTCAAGTGGTACAGCAGCGCTCAGAACAATTCAAAACTCAATCATTCCCAATCTCCCATAAAACATCATTCAAGCAGCCAATATATACTTTAAAAATATGCATATCTTTTTCTTCTGTACTACCCATTTCGCCCAGCAATAAATTGAGAAAAGGAAAAAACAAAGAAAACCACGTAACTCTACCAAAAAAGGCTCGGTAATTAAATAGAACGAGAGGCTACAGAACCAACATCTACAATATGTACCGCTACAGCGAATTTCAATTATGAGTTTGTAACGCTCTAAACCTAAATGAAGATCATCCCAGAAATTTTAGAGCTACAATAGACATTGTCTTCAACATACCTGACATGCTATGGATGGAAGAGAATTTGTCATCATTAATATCATTTTGGATGAATTAGTGACTGTTGCTGTGCAGTGTTTATGAGCGGTGATATATGCCTCATTATGGATAATTCAAGTTTCAAAATCAGTTCAAATATTTCGATTCCACCACCGCTGACTCGTCTGACCGGATTTTCTCACTGGAAAACAGAATACAGAACACAATATAATTTCATTTCAAATATAAGACAATTGATTGGTCTAAAAATTTCCACAGAGGCAGAAACTGTAACAATGTAATAAAGTGGCAACAGATGTTTTCTTTATTAGACGTTTTATTTGATTAAGGGGGTACTCACACTAGGCACGGTAGCCTTGAACCGAGCCCGAGTGCGATTATCCCCCCTCCCCACTCCCCCGCTGGCCTGCACTCACACTTGCACTAAACTTTCCGGGCCGGAGCACGCTTACGTCATGTATGAGATAACAGAGAAAACCACTTTCGCTAATATTCTGCAGAATAATTAATAATAATTAATTTATAATTTATGTCGTGCATTGATTTTCACTTGTATGTATCAGAAAATTATTACGGAGACAGCTGAGGTTAATGAAATAATTTGCAGCTTTACTCGCAAACTACATTTCCTGTTCATCAATAAGGTAAGAACCAGAGCCATTATAAACCTAAATATACTTGATTGAATTAAATTTATTGAAAAGTGTAGTGTAGTAGTAGTAATAGAATATGTTTGCGGTCGTAATGATGACAGTAGAGCACACAAAACAGGATCTATTCCGCGCTCACACTGCATGCGTACCTGCGCCCTGGGCAGGTCAGACTCGTGAGCAGGCGGGATTATGCAAATGTGTTACCCAGTGACGTACACCTGTAACGGGCAAAAGATTCGAAAATATGACGACTCGTTAAGACGATTCAGAATCGACTCTCTCTTTTGAGAGACAATATCTTTATTTACGTATCATGCACTTTCTTGATTAACAACTTTGCAGATTGTTTTCATTTAAGGATAGCTACGTTATAAACTGCAAAAGAGATATTTTTCAAAAACCCATATGACCTGCTCTTTAAGCAATGAAAAGGGTTTGGCCTGATGGTGGAAAAGTGGCTATAGTTAGAAAAGCGAAATCAGTGTTGTTCTTATGATTTCAATCACGTATTATATTGCAGTTCCTAATTAGGTTACATTCAACAAAGAGCGAGGAGCTTTTTATTTACTTGCCATAGCAGAGTTTAACTCGCATTTGGGTTAATGATAAATAAGAGTGTAAATGACAAAGACAAGGAAATAGCTTAAAACATTTGCTTCACAATATTTTGAAAACATTTTTAACATTAAGAATTTTAGCATTATCTAAAATTCCACATTTTCGCAAAATGTCATGTGGTATAACCAAGTAAAAAGTTACATATAATCATAATAATGACATCTTTTCCTTGAACACCTTGAATATATGTGAGAATACATTTAAGTTTTTAAATATAAACATTTTTTTTTTATCAGTCTTTTTTACAAATAATAAAAGTTTTGGGGAGATGCACCACTTGGCATTTTACTTTCTAAATATTTCCTTTTCATTAAAAGGTCAAATAATCTGATATAGACTTATTGACATTGAAATACAGTCATCATGAGGGTTTACACGAGTCCTCTCTATGATATCATTTCCTGTTTTATGTTTTTTATTGTATTTTGTTTCCATGCATGTTGGTCACACAACATGACTGATTTAGTGGACTACAGTTTTTCAAATACTAATAAGCGGTTTTGTTAAACATTTAAAAGCTTTATTAAACTACTTAAGGTTTTATTATTATATTTTTCTTTTATCATGATATCATGACAGTTGTATCACCCTGGAAATTTTTCCTTTATGCTCAATTAATTTTATGCAAATGAATTTTAATTTTGAAAAAATGTGCATAGAAAAAGTGTCATTATGTAGTTTATTTTTTTTTAAATAAATTAATAGATATGGAGTGTTAACTCGCTGTGTATATGTAATGCTACTTACATGCTGCTCGAGTTTGTGGTAATCTGATGTCTTGGGTCTCCGTGTGCCTCTTGATCTCCGGCCCTCAACGACGAAGGCAATAATCTGCAGGCGAAGGTGAAATAAAGAACTGTCATTTAATTGCCACTTGACATCTTTAAAATAAAAAAAAAACGACAAACACGAGTCTCTAGGATGTACAAACAGACCCACTAACCTTGCGCTTGTTGTGACTTGCGATATACAGCACAGCCACCAGTATAACAGCACAGACCAGATAGGCAAAGAAGTGGCTGTTCTCTGCATTCTCTGATTGAACATTTTGCTTTCTATCGTCCTTCTTTCCTGTTTTGCTGTTAGATGTATCCTGTTCATTTGAAGGGTCACCAGCAGTATGCTCAACAGCACCTTTACCTTCAGCCGCTTCATCAAACTCTGTAGGGTTCTCAGGTGTGGTCATCCTCTCTACACTCTTGTCATCTGTTTCATCTCCACCTTCTTCAGAAGGTTCAGGGTTACTATTGTCATCAACCTCATTTTGGTCAGCTGTGGCTGGCTTTTCACCTTTTTTACCACTTGGTACATCTCCACTGTCTTTATGCTCCTCTTGACCCTTATCATCTGTTGGGTTTTCTCCACCATCTCCAGCAGGTTTAGAGTCTGTTTGTTTATCATCTTCTTTATTTTGTTTCTCTGTGGTTGTCTTCTCTTTAACATTACCACCTGCTTTTGGTGCACCTACATCAGGTTTACCAGCGTCATCGTCTTTTTTATTTTGGTCAAGTGTGGGCGGCTTGTCATCACCATTTCCTTCATTGTTTGACACATCTTTATCTTTTGTAACAGTTTCCGGGATTGTGTTTTCATCATCTTCTATATTGGGGTCAGGTAGGGTTTGATTATTTCCATCTTTTGCAGCATTATTTTCGCTATCAAGATTAGCTTCAATAATTTGAGGGGGTTTAACCTTTTTATTACTGTCAGATGTGTTCGTATTTTCTTCATTAGGGGTTTCAACCACTGTGTTCACAGGATCATCATTCTTTGATGTGCTGGCGTCATTACTTTTTGGCCCATTTGCTGATATGCTCTGCAAAACAGTCGTACCTTCATCTGTGTCCGGTGGCTTAGGAGTTTCTCCTAGAGCGTTACCTGGCAATGTATTGGAGCAAACTGGAAAATACCACAAAAATCACAATAAAATCTTGGGCATAACGCACAGTTTAAGCCTATAATATCATCAAAACACCATATGAAGGAATATCTTTTGAAAGAATCGTATCCCATTTCTCCAGTAGACTTGGAGAATTAATGCCAAAGCGCATTTAATTTCTTCTGGTGGCCCCAACACTTTATGTTGGTTTTCAGTGAAAACTTTTCACTTTAATTTTTCATCTGTCTGTATATTTTTACTGATTTAGCAAGATAATTTACAGTAAACAGGGAACACACACGCATATATGGCAACATGTAAACAAAGGCGACTTCAAGCAGGAAGTCACTCCTATTTAAGTACATTTCTAAAGCAGGAATGTGGTTCATCCAGACACTCTTTACCACCTCGGCCCCTGTCACGTATTGCAAAAGTGGGGAAAACGTCGCACTTTAGCTGAATAATTAGCCAACAACATGTAGAATAATAGTAGCGATTGTCTTTTCATTTCCAAATACAGTGCGCACGAGGACAGGGATTTAGATGTAAACACGTCACGAGGTATATCAATCTATAATATCGTCCCTCAGCCCCACAAACACTATCTAACAGTATAACTAGAGGAATACATTGACTCACCTTGATGCAAGCAAAGGACAACAATTAACAGCGCTGTTAAGCGAAGCATGGCTTCAGTCAGTGATACAGTGACACATGAGATTGACAAAACGCCGACGCGATTCCGGTAACGTTACAGACACTTCCGTGTTTACACCTGTTTTTATACAGTCTATGGTTTACACACGAGACCCCCGAGGTTTGACGTAAAACGCGGACCGGACTCTCTGATCTGTAATAGAGAATTTAGTATTTATTATTACCCTGCCCAAAAAGACCATAAAAATTGCAGATAACATCTGAAGTAACAATTAATTTCCATACACATATCTTAAAAACTAATCCTGTGTGACTGATGCGCTTCAAATCGGGTGATTTTGGGTCAAGGTTTCAGCTGTCAGTCAGTCAATGATGGCGGCTCGAACACTTCCGGTGGCTTCAGCGCCTGACGCAGTCTTTATAGAGGCTAGTGTTGTGTTGGTCTCTAGTGCCATCAAAACCATTATAAATTACCCCCCAAACTAAGCTTATAATTTTTTTTTTCTTCTATTGCTGTTTTATGAACAAGAGAACACAATTAAACCACAATGACAAACATTAAGACATTTATTTTTAAAAATATTTAGAAAATAACAGTGATGGCCATTTTTTGATAGCCTAATTACTGAACATGGCAAATTAGATGAGAAAATAGGCTATCTATCTGATATGAGAGGGAATAAATGTGCTTAAAGGCATAGTTCACCCCAAAATTAAAATTGTCATAATTTACTCACCCTAAAGTTGTTCCAAATCTGTATGAGTTTCTTTCATCTGTTGAAAACAAAGGAAGATATTTTGAATAATGGCGGTAACTAAACAGTTTCTGCTTCCCATTGACTTCCATAGTATTTTTTTTCCCCATACTATGGAAGTCAATGGGGGCCAACAATTGTTTGGACTTCTAAAGTTCTCTTCTTGCTTTTTTTTATTTCAAATTCCTAAACATTATTTGAGATGTGGCCAACTGAGTTTAATTCCATCTCATGAACTGATATGGAGGTAATTCTAAAATTGGGAATGTCCTACTAATTCCAGCTATCTTCCACCAGAGGCCACCAGAGATTTCCCCAAACCTTCAACTACACAGCCCCTCGCCAAAACCAGTCCTCCTAATGGGAGTGCTCTCGTTCAGGATGAAAACACCCACATCCGTAGGGAGTCACATGCCACTGAATGCTTCGATGAGTATAAAAATGATATGTGTTAGCAGAACAGGGAAGTCTATGGAGTGACTAACAAACGCAGGCCATTGCTTTTCTTTTCTTTTTGTTTGCTTGTTTTCTTTTCTTTTCTTTTCTTTTGCTTGTTTTTGTTTTTGTTTTATTTTGTTTTGTTTGTTTTTATGTATTGTTTTTTGTTTGTTTTCTTTTTGTTTGGTTTGTTTTTATGTTTTGTTTTATTTATTTTTTTTGCTTGGTTTTGTTTAGTGTTTTGTTTTGTTTTGATTGGTTTTGATTAGTGTTTTTTTTTTCTTTTTTGTTACAACTATTCACACAGCATATAGTTTCTAGCTTCGTTATCATTATCACAGCCAGGTAATATGGACATTAGTGCTTTCTGCATGTCACCTATAGTGAGATGGGTTTAAAAGACAAAAATCGCACCAAATCAATATAAATATTAGATTAATTATTATTTCTACATTATTTTTTTATACAACATTTAGATATTAGATTCAATATTAGTTTTACATTTAAACTGCAAGCTAAATTAACAAATTACATTTAAAATGGTGCCAAATGTGGAAAAATCAGACATTCGTTGATGGAGCACTGCTTCAGGTTATTTTTTTAAGTAACTAATAATTATTCAAATACATATTTAAAATAATTATATTATTAATTATATCAAAACAATTATTTAATAATTGAAAAATAATATTAAAATGAATATTGTTGAGAAAGGAGGTGCAATTAGAGTCTGGACTGTAAAGGGCAGTGTAAGACCATGAATTTGTCAAAAGCCTTTCGTTCACTGAACTAAAAAATTGTCTAAATTACATCACCAATTCAGCTTCCCCCCCCCAAATGCAGCTTTTCCTCTTTCTCTAACTCTCCAGAATATGACCCTTTCAATTAGGCTGTATTAAACTTCAAATGCATCAAGAAATATGAATGTGATCAGTCAGTTATTTTTAATTAACCATCTCGTTCATCACTAAAGTGAACACAATGTTAGAGAGAGTGAAATGATTTTAAAACTGATTGAAGTTCAGCTCAGAACTCAGAGCATGCATTGATAGGACTCTCTAGAGACGGACTCGAGCTCCTCCTGCAGGAGCAGAGAACAGAACAGACACTGAATGAGCAGACCGAGGGCCAGACTCACACAAAACACCACGCCAAATTCACAAATATGGCTTGAACGTGTTCCTGAGGAGAACACAAACCCAGAAGACTGAATGTTAGAAAGCAGAGCGGTCCAGCAGATTTAGAATGCTTTCTAGTGTCTCTTTCACAGCAGATGTCCTCTTTAATTTTAATAACAAAACTCAATGCTTTATGTTTCTCCAAGTCTTACGTCTGGGTTCTTAAAGGAATAGTTTAGTCAAAATGAAACTTCTCTCATGCAGTTCCAAACCCGTATGTCTCTCTGCCTTCTGTGGAACACAAAGATTTTGCAGATTTTTCATGTTTTGCTTTCATTTGATGGGAAAGCGCAGCATTTTCTTTTGTGCTCCACACCGAAAGTCATACGGGTTTGTTACAACATGAGGGTGAGTAAATGACTTCTCTTTTTTGGCAAAAACTGACCCACCAAACATAAACGCCTTCGTTTTTTGTCAGACCACATGCGTGAGATTATCTTTCCAATGTAAATATGTTCTACAGCAAAACAATTCGCCTAATCTTTATCTTGTATGACCTTAACGACTGTCATGAATAATTTGTCACAGCGACCAAAGATCTTGCACAACATGCAAATGATGTTAATGTTAATCAGTGTTTTACTCCTCAGCTGGAGACAAAACCCCTGCAGCCTCAAATACTCCACCAGGCCTAATCGTAGTCCTGACATTTAGTACTGAATACGATCCCTCTTACTCTTCATCTGAGTTTCCTTCTTTAAGGTCAAATGTTCGTAAATAAAACATTAAGAGGCGGTCTTGGGCGCGCGGCCAGGTGATACCTGTCTTCACGAGGAGCTGCCAGCTGACACACTGCCAAATGTAATGAGAGTGTTGATCAAACAATCAATGAATATGTTAGCAGGAACGCACGTACTGTAACTGTCCATCACTGCACACGGCAAGAGAAATTGCTGTTACCTTCAGGTGGAACAACTTATGGAAAGGGCCAGTCATACATGCTGTTCTCACTGTGACCTCCTTCATTTGGAGGAGTGAGTCTTTAATAATCTGATGTGGCCAGTTGGAGACAGCAGGAGACCTTCTCCTTTGTGAAGTAACCTACAGGTGGAACAACTAATGGAAAGGATTTTAAGGCTAAGAAAGCCCAAATATAATTTTCCACTCACTAGTAGAGACCCCCTTCCAAAATGATAAAAGCAGCTCTGTATTTTCATTTATAAAACCTCATTTGTGTGAGAAAAATATTGTTTGTTATTACAGAGATTAAATGTTTTTCTTTCATTATTATTAGGGCTGGGTAAAAAATATAGATATCTCGATAGTGACAGATCGCTGTAGCGCCTCAGTTCAACAGACGCAGCAGCGCGAGGCGCAGGTGAACTGATGTCCTCCACATTAATACCAGCTTCAACACAAAATAAACATGACTAAACATCCGAAGGTAAGTTAAAAGAAAGAGTACAACTTAACAATCTGTGTCCTGTCTCATGTAATCGCTCAATCAGTGTTTCAGCCGCGCAAAGACGTCAATATAACGGCTTGTAAACAATATGTGTCATGTAATGTCACATTTACCTCAGAAAACATATTTGGTGACCATAAACTCATTAGTCAGATAGAAAAATAAACTGTAAATTTCGTTTCTTTTTTTCCCCCCTACTCTCTATTAATGTTAAATACATAAACCTGAAGAGAAACCTTTTCAGTTCAGTTCGGATCAGGGTTATTATAGTTTACTAAATCTGAAACAACAACAACAACACTTTCACCACTTGAAATAAAATAAACTTTTGTCAAATAAAATATATCTAAAATCCTTATTCTATTTCATCTGTTGTCGAGGCAATATTTTCATTTTCATTTAGTTTAACTTGATGTGCTAAAATAAAAACAATTAAAACTAAAACAAAAATTAAGAAAAATATACTGTAAAAATTGATATGATCAGTAAGCCATGTTTTTACATTAGGTTAATACATTAAAATAAGTAGAACAATTTCATAAGTATTTGAGATTCAGCTCGAGTTTTAAGTCAGTTTAATATAAATGAAGTTGATTACTTAAAAATTTAAGGCAGCAATTAAACATAAGTTCCCTTTCGATACTTCACTCGTACTGCGTCTTGCTTAAGACGCATATGGGAAAAAGCCTTTTGGCGGGCTTCGTCGCCATAGGCTCGTGCAGCTCCGCTGCCGTGCCATTGGTTCGTTTTTAAAGCCCTGCACGAACCAATGGCCGTGCAGTTTCACTGCGTGAATGAAATAGGCTTCAGTTCAGGAGAAAAAAGGCTTTTTCCCATATGCGTCTTAAGCAAGACGCAGTACTCGTTCCCGTATCTCAGGGAACCGAGGTTACGTTAGTAACCGAGTACGTTTCTAAGTTGTAAGTAATTAACATTTTTTTAACAGTGATACAGGAATATAAAAAAAAACAATAAAAATGACGCTGAAAAATGAAAAATTCAACTGAAAGCAAAATATAACCATATAAAATAATACAAAATATTAAAAACTATAACGGTATCTCAGTGGTATTAAAATAACACTGATTCAGATTTATTTGTAAAGTGTTTTTCACTGTAAATATTGTTCTAAAGCAGTGCTATAAAATGATTGACTGATTTTTGTGTGCGTGTGTGTTAACACATTGACAGGTCTAAAATTAAATTTTGTAAAAATCTGAAACCCCATTATACTGATAATAGATGTAGATTCTTATTATATATAGTTCATATACACTAGCAGTCAAATGTTTGAACACACTCGACTGAATTTTAAATACTTGTGATAAGGCTTCAG